TCACCCCATGCCGGTCGGCTGCGGCAAAAAAGGCGATGCCCTTCAATGTCTTGAAAAAAGTTTGTTTTTATACAACAGACGGAAAACACACAGGGAATCTTGTGTGGGCGCCTTTGGCTGGTAACTTGTCTTTCTGCTGTCCTACACCTCTTATCAGACTGGACACAAACAAAACATAAATGATCGCCGAACAACCACCCACAAAGCACACCACAAAATAAGCAATCGTTTAGTAAAATCACGCACCAAACACAGGTTCTTGGACAAAACAGGACCACGCCAGTTCTCCCCCCACCAAAAAACATAGCACAACCTCATTCTTGTCTGCCTGCGGGTCATTTAACAAGCCGAAGCCGGCGCTCCCCTTCCAACATCTCTTTTCTTTCCCACAAAACAGCCCACAACACCACTTAACGCAAACTCCAACCACAAAAACCCTGGTAACGATTAACTGTATATACACAGTATTGTGGATAATAATTAGTGGTGTATAATTTTATATTCCCTAAAATACAAACTCATCTTTCATCTGTAATTTCGTCGTACACCTTACCTACTACTTTACTCTAGAACCCCAATACCCTATACATTCTACTACGATATTTACCTAATATATTATAATTAACGTTAAAATTATATCTACATCTTCTCATCACACTAACTACCTTTAAATATGGTACTTCATCCAAAATATATAGATTCTAATCATTTACCAATATCTTCTTTTTTTTGTTTTTCATAATTAAATAATAACAAAACACGCCCCATATATATCATTTATCCATATCTGACTCTAAATAATATTCTTTACTAGCAACAATATTTATAAATCACCCTACATAAATCTCAATGTAACTAATATATATATATCGCACTATATTCTATAATAAAAAACAACTACAACTGCTAACGTTATAGTATTCTACTCAAAAAGTAGTAATAACATAAAAATTCAACACTAATAACTATAAATTTTAAATACTAAATGAAAACTACACCTTAAATACCCTCCTTATACTCTCAAAAACATTAAACATACTTTACCCCCAACTACATGTAATAACTCGATCATAATACAAAAAAAAAGACATAATATACATATTTTCAAACACACCTGTATACCCTAAACAAACCAACTACAATATAGCTCAAATACCTTATCTGTATAATAAACCATTATATACCGTAACTATAATTACTACTTTAACCAATAATATAAATATATAATAACCTCCTTAATATTTCTATACTCATAATCACACGTACACAACTCCTTCTCTTACCGTACAACAAAAGAACAATTTTTCTTACAACCGGCCAATTGCATACAAATAAAAAAACCAACATCCAACCCAACCCCCACCCTACGCCCCCCACCCAACAACCCTACCCCGCCAGACATCCCACAACTAAAAACCCAATTCCTAAAACAGACCACCACACCCACATCACAAAAACACCCCCACCCCAACCCCCCACCCGACCCCAGCACCCCCACCGCACCCACACAAAATCACTGATGAACGCACACAACCCCACCCACATACCAAAAACTCCCAAAACCAAAACCTCCCAAACATCACCGCCCCCACAATCGCCTCACCCCAAAACAAATAACACAAACCACACCACAACAAGACCATCCCCCACAACAACCCCCACACAAAGCCAACTACAAAACAATTCTCTCCCAACCACTCCCCTCACTATTCATTCTCTCCCACACTCCCCTCAATCTCACCGTGACTTTTTTACACCCTTTCTCTCATTCTACATCCTTCTCTCTCCTTCGTTACTCTTCCCCCTCTCAACCCCAACCACTAAACAAACCAACATATACAGAGAGAAACCGAAAATTAAAAAAACGCTAAGATTCACAAGCTTCCCACCCAAGCCAACTCAAACCACACCGCAAGCCTCACAAAACCCCGCGCTCATTCCCAAGCCAGTAGTTCCGCTGCTCGAGGGACACCCAAGAGCTCTGCCTGCGCCCTCGAGGGAGACATTTGACTGCGGAAGGTTGCTGATGCAGAGGATTTGGTAATTACTTATTGGGTTCGAAATTCATATTAGGTCCGGCAGGAGTTGATCTAATCGTGATTCCCGTTTTCTTATTTATATGAGTTTTTTCCTATACAGGTTATGTCATTTTTTTTATATTCCCGTTTTAATTATACTTTCACTTGTGTAGTCTACCTCTATTATTATAATTATCTAATATATATATCTATATATATATATAATATTATACATACATTTATATTATTACTTCGACGTATTACTATATATGAATATTATATAATGTATATATATGTGTATATATAATATATATATATATATAGTAGTTATCTATAGTTATATATATATTATATATATATAATATATGTAGTTATATATCATAAATTATATCAGTATATATATACAACTACTATATGATATTATATACATAATAGTATATATATAATTATTAAATATACATATACTAATTAGATAATATACTATTCAATAGTTGTTATATATAACATAATAATAATATTACTATATTATTTACATATTGTATATAATTAACAATATATAATTACATATAATATACTAGTAACATATAATATATACTATTACCAATACTGTATACTAATATATATATATTATATAATATATAGTATAATATATATATATATTATATATGCATAAACAAGTATACTTACGATATATAATGTATGTGCTATACTATATATTGATACTCATTTGCTGTGATGTTTGTGTAGTGTGTTTTGCGTTGTATGAATAGTTACTTTCTATTTTATATAATATATATATTATATATAATATATATAGATATATATATATATTGATATAATATTATATATATATGCTATATGTTATGAATACTATATAACATACACACCACACACACAACACACACACACACACACACACACACTTACACCACACACACACAAACACAAACACATTCACACACACACATCACACACACAAACACACATCAACATACTACACATACCACAAACACACACAACACACACACACACCTACACCCCAGATATATATACTAATAATATATTAATAATATTAATAATTTATATATATATTATATACTATATACATATTTACATATGGATATGTGTGTGTGTGTGTGATGTGTGTGTGTTGTGTGTGATGGTGATGTGATGTAGTGGTTTAATATACAATACCTAATACCAGTTATTAATTATGATTATTAACATTATAATATATCATATGCGAATATGTACTTATATGCTTATACTATATTATGCCTATTTAATATATATGTATAATGATAATAGTATATTGTATCATATATAGTATATTTTATACATAAATACATAACATATTCATACATATATTATAAATTATATATATATATTATAAGATATATTTTATATACACTATAAACATTACATTACATACACACATACTATACACAACACACACAACACACACAAACACACACACATCAACACACACACACACACACACAACACATATTAATAAATTATATATTATATTATATACTATACTATATAATTATATATATATATACAATACTTACTTTATATTATCTATTATTATTATGAATATATAATCATTATATATATAATCATATATATGTCAGTATATGCGTAATATATATTATATCTCAATACCAGCTTATAGTTATTATTATGTAGTATAATAGTCATATAAACTATATCATATAATTATATGTATTTCTGTGGATGGCTGTGCTGTGCTGCTGTATCTCTTTTCTTAATCTCTCTCTACCCCGTCTCTCCCCTCCTACCTCCATCCCTCCTCCCTCCCTTCCACCTCCCCTCTAATCTCCTCTTCTCCTCTCATTACATACTATATACCTAATTTATATTTAGATTACTAACATATCATACGCATACAAAATACCCTCCGCCACTGTTCAACACTCCTAACTACGCTTCGTTCACTTCTCCAATATATATAATATATCTAGTAAACGTATGTTTATAAATACTCATCCATATACTATTTTTTCTTATAAATATTAGTACATATTACTAGTTAATATAATATAATAATTGCTAATAACTAATTAACACAGAAAATCACCACGCCTCATCGACCGAATTAGTTTACATCACGTCCTGTAATACCTTATTATATATCTTATTATAACTATAATATTCAATACTAACTATTATATTGTACATATAGTTAGTAGATGATATATAATAGAATATATTATACTTATATACTATGGTATACGCAGTATATACTTAGATATACTAATATAATAGTATATATAATTAAATACTTTAATTATATTATATATATGTAACTAATTAATAATATATTAGTACTCATAATATATATATATAAATATAAATCTCATACTAATATATACTAATAACTAGTATATATCATAACTTATATATACTTATACTATATATTATTCATAATTTACGTGATGAGGTTATATATTAATATTTATATATACTACTATAAATACTTCTTCTATATACTCATAAATAATATATACTATACTGATATACACTTATAATCAATAGTTAACACTAATATATATATTATATATATACTATCTATATTCATAATATTTTATATATACTACGTATCTTTATATACTATAACTATATAATATTATATACATAAATATAATATCATATAACTTATATATATATATCTATATTGTGTGTGGCGTGTAGTGTGTATGTGTTTGTGTGTGTGTGTGTGTGTGTTGTGTGTGTTGTCTGTGTAGTGATAGCTCTCGCTTTTATATATGTAATATATATGAATAGTATATAATTACGATAACGAACTTACCCTTGCATAGAATGTACAAACATTTCAACATAGTCATAGAGAGCAAGGAGGAACAGCCAGCACTTCCTAATCAGCCTTCCTCCGTCTCTTCCTCACACACACGCGCGTGCTCTCCCATAATCACCTTAACAGCATTTGCGTTGGCGATGTCGGGGCTTGATGTCGCGGGAAACAGGATCAGAGAAGCTTACGCTGGTATTCAGATGCGGAGAAAGCGCTCGGTGAAAGAGGGACAACTTCTTTGCGACGAAGCTGTGTGAAGGAGGGGGAG